CAGCCGTTCCTTATATGTTTTAGCCTCCAGCCCCCTGATCATCTTTGTTGCTCTTTCTAGAGTCTCAACATCTTTTTTACATCGTGGTGACCAAAACTTCATTGAACTAGAGATACCCAATTCCTGTGACCGCCCTTCATATGTTTTAGCCTCCAGGCCCCCAATCATCATTGTTGCTCTTCTCTGCACTCTTTCCAGAGTCTCCGCATCTTTTTAATATCGTGGTGACCAAAACTGAAGTTGATGTTTTTCAACTTCTCAATTTTTGGGGATGGTGTCTCGTTCCAGGAGGAAGCAGGACTGACCTGCCCTAACTTTTAAATCGGCCAGTACTTATTAGCTCAATGCTGTCACCTGCTGACCTTTAAAGAGGAATTAGGAAGGAGTGACCTAGAACAGTGATGGCGAACCTTTTAGAGACCGAGTGCCCAAACTGCAACCCAAAACCCACGTATTTACTGCTGGGTGCCAGAGGGGCATGGCCCACAGGGTGGGCGTGGCTGTGGTGGTCATGGCAGACTGGGTGGGTGAGGTCAAGGTGGGCGTAGTCACCTCGATGTTGCTCGTGGGGAGGGACGCCTGTGGGGGCCGGGCAGGGTTGGGGGAGATCCAGGGGGTCTCTGGCAGGTGGGGCGGTGGGCACAAGGCTCGTCCTGCGGGGTGAGGCGAGGCAAGGTGAGGCAGGGCGGGGGTGCCATTGTTGCATGGCAAGGCGAGGCAGGGGCCGGGGCCGCTGCTGCCTGACACCATCGGCCCCCACACGCAGGCCAGCGAGCGCATGGGGGCCGACAGTGTCCATCAGCAGCTACAGCCTGCCGGCCTCTCGACCGGCGCAATCTGGGGCTCTGCAGCCCATCGCCGGCAGTTCAGAGAAGCCGCCTCTGAGCTGGACAGACGGCCGACAGCTGAGGAGGCGATGCAGTGGGTCGGGAAAAGGAGAGCATGTGAGGCCAGGAGGGATGGGACGGGGGGAAGGAAACCAGCCATGTTGGGATGCATCCGGCCACGTGGGACCTTGGCGAGTTAGCGGGCAGCTGTTGAAGAGGGAGAGTTGCCATCTCCAGGCGTGATGCGCGTGCCCACAGAGAGGGCTCTGAGTGCCGCCTCTGGCACACGTGCCATAGGTTCGCCACCACTGACCTAGAAGAGAGGCAAGGAAATGAACAGTCCTCGAGTGGTTTCTAGAATAAGCATAGAAGAAGAATATAGATTTTCCTGCTTGAGCAGGGGGTTGGACTAGAAGACCTCCAAGGTCCCTTCCAACTCCTATTCTATTCTGTTCTATTCTGCTCTATTCTATTCTTTTTTTTAAACAAGTTTTATTAGCTTTTTCATTTTACAAACCAGTGCTTAAGAATCACTGTGGTGGCAGTGATTGTCCAAATAAAAAATCATACTCGTAAAGATCAAATTAAATCATTTTTTTTAAAAAATGCACCCCTCTCTATTCCGTCTAGTAGTATATTATATTCAAGTTAATATATTTCAGTACAACTAAGTCAGTCAAAACAGTCATCAATAAGATTTCATCTAAATAAATCCAAATCCTATATTAAGCTTTACTATTTCAATTGCTATATTCCATATTGGTAACATAAATACATAATTAACACTTCAAATGTCTCTCCATACCTTTTCTATTCTATGCTATGCCATGCTATGCTATGCTATTTTATTTCCAATTATTCTATTCTATTCTATTCTATTCTATTCTATTCTATTCTATTCTATTCTATTCTATTCTATTCTATTCTATTCTATTCTATTCTATTCTATTTCCAATATCTATTCTGTTCTGTTTTGTTCTATTCTATTCCATATCCAATATCTATTCTATTCTATATCCAATATATATTCTATATCCAATATCTATTCTATTCTATATCCAATATCTATTCTATGTCCAATATCTATTCTATTCTATATCCAATATCTATTCTATGTCCAATATCTATTCTATTCTATATCTATATCCAATATCTATATTCTATTCTATATCCATATTCTATTCTATTCTATATCCAATATCTATTCTATTCTATATCCAATATCTATTCTATATCCAATATCTATTCTATTCTATATATATCTATTCTATATCCAATATCTATTCTATATCCAATATCTATTCTATTCTATATCCAATATCTATTCTATATCCAATATCTATTCTATTCTATATCCAATATCTATTCTATATCCAATATCTATTTGATTCGATTCGATTCCAATTTCTAACAGTCACCACACAATCTTCTCTTCCATACCTTGTAAGAAAACTGAGAACAGGAATAGAATGCTTCGTGATGACAGAGCTTGCAGTTAATCTGTCATCAGGTCCAAAAAAAGCTTTCAGGTCATCTCCAAGAGGAGAAAACCTCTAGCTGCGTATAGTGCCTGAAACTGTTTTTCGAAATCTGCAGCTTTTCCCACGACAGTTGAAACCGCTGGCCTTTCCAAATGGGAGCTGGACTTCCCCATTGTGGAGAAAGTGGGCCGGCCTCCAGCTTTCAAGCCATCCCGGAGCAGGAGAGGGAAGGACTTAACAGCCACCAATGGAGCCCGACTTTTCCGTTGCAAAGTGAGGCCGTTGCTAAGCGAGCTTTGCCCCATTTTGCAACCTTCCTGCGGCTGTTAAGTTGGTCACACGGTTGTTAAGTGAAGCCGGCTTCCCCCATTGGAGTTGGCTTGTCCGAAGGTCGCAAAAGGGGATCCCACGCTCCTGGGACACTGTAACCGTCATATGTCTGAGTCGGTTGCCTAGCGTCCCACTTTTGATCACGTGACCACAAGGACGCTGCAAGGATCGTAAGTAAGAAACGGTCGTCAGTCCCTTTCTTCAGGGCCGTTGTAACTTCGAACAGCCATTAAACAAACCGTTGTAAGTTGAGGACTGCCTGTACTGTTAAGAATTTAAAATAGTGCAGAATGTTAGAATAGAAGAGAGCTGGAAGGGACCTTGGAGGTCTTCTAGTCCAGCCCCCTGCTCAAGCAGGAGAATCTATAGGGTTTCCTGCCTGAGCAGGGGGTTGGACTAGATGGCCTCCAAGGTACCTTCCAACTTTATTATTATGATAGATAGATAGATAGATAGATAGATAGATAGATAGATAGATAGATAGTTGTTTTCTGAGGTTTTTGCAGGTGTTTCTATGTAGGTTTTTGGTTATTTTGATCCTAGAAGCAAGAAGCCAAAAACACCAGCCTGAAGATGACGAATGGGACTTTGTTGAAACGTCGCCAAGACACTTCCAATTTGACGTGGGAGAAAACCCGAATAACCAAAGACTTATATATATAGATAGATAGATAGATAGATAGATAGATAGATAGAGAGAGAGAGGGAGGTAGATAGAGATAGATGATAGATAGATGATAGATAGATGATAGATAGAGAGATAGAGAGATAGATAGATAGATGATAGAGATAGATAAATAGATAGATAGATAGATAGATAGATAGATAGATAGATAGATAGATAGATAGATGATAGATAGAGACAGAGAAACAGAGGTATATAGAGATAGATGATAGATAGATAGACCAGCGATTCTCACCCTGTGGGTCGCGACCCCTTTAGGGGTCGAATGACCCTGTCACAGGGGTCACCTAAGACCATCGGAAAACACATATTTCCGATGGTCTTAGCAACCACTCCTCTATCCATCTCCGCATGGCTTTGAGCTGGGGGCCATTGCGGCGCCGAATTTGTTTCCGTCGAGCATCTCCTAAGGGAGGCCGCGCTGCTTCACGGCCCTTTCCGCGGAGGAGGCTGAACTAAGCTCTGCTGGCGCTGGCGCCCTCTTGGCGCTCTCTCCCTCTCCCTCTCTCCCTCCCTCCCTCCTTTTCTCTCTCCCTCTCCCCACCTGGGCGCTTCTCCAACCAGGCTGGGCAGAGCTGGTGGAGGGGCCTTCCTGCCCCCCCTCCCCGGCCAGCTGGAGCCAGGCAGGCCGGCGACCTTCGGAAGTGAGGCAAGGACAGGCGAGGCACGCTGAGCCCCGGGCGTGGCGGGTGAGTGGGCAGCGTCAGTGTGTGCTTTGAGAGCCCTTAGGGTTGGAGGTCACCACAACATGAGGAACTGTATTGAAGGGTCGCGGCATTAGGAAGGTTGAGAACCACTGTCCTACATCATCTATCATGGTCACTGCAAATAGGTTCAGGATTGTCCCTATCGCATGGAACTGATCAAATCCCATTGGTTTTTCCAAGAGGTAGAGAAAGCTTTAACATTGTGTGTGTGTGTGTGTGTGTGTGTGTGTATTTTCTATCCAGTGTTGTTTCCCTCCCTCCCTTCCTTTTTTTCTTTCCTTCCTTCCTTCCTTCTCTGGTGGCACAGTGGTTAGAGTGCAGTATTGCAGGCAAACTCTGCCCACAGTCAGGAGTTCGATCCTGACCCGCTGACTCTGCTGACTCTGTAAACCGCTCAGAGAGGGCTGTAAAGCATTGTGAAGCGGTGTATAAGTCTAAGTGCTATTGCCCTTCCTTCCCTCCCTCCCTCCCTCCCTCCCTTCCTTCCTTCCTTCCTTCCTTCCTTCCTTCTCTGGTGGCGCAGTGGTTAGAATGCAGTATTGCAGGCAAACTCTGCCCACAGTCAGGAGTTCGATCCTGACCGGCTCAAAGTTGACTCAGCCTTCCATCCTTCCGAGGTCGGTAAAATGAGGACCCAGATTGTCGGGGTATGTGTGTCTGTGTAAGATGCTGATATTTGTAAACTGCTTAAAGAGGGCAGTAAAGCACTGTGAAGCGGTATATAAGTCTAAATGCTATTGCTATGGGTGTTTAGAACAGCATAAAAAAATGGGGGACAGATTGTGTCTGGGGCCTCCCCCTCTCTCGAGTGGAAAACGTTTCCCGCTGCAGTCTGCAGCCTGTCCAGTCCCCACTTACAAATCATCTGATTCAGAGATGAAAAATAGGTGAACGATGGTCTTGAGATACGTATTGCAAAAGCCTTGTCTAAGCGGCAGGTTTGCTAATCCATATTCAAATTACATTGCAGGTTATCCTGGTGGACATTTGACGATGGGTGACGTACTTGCTTACGAAGCAGAGCTGCTTGGAATGGTGAAAGAGGCAAGTTTTTCTGAATTTTCACCACCTCAAAAGCCCAAAAGGTTCACCATCCCTGGGATGGAAGCTGGTGCCGATGGAAGCTTTGTGTCCTGGTTCCGACCGATGAAACTCTTCAAAGAACTTTGAGGCATTGTTTACCTTAAAGAATCTTTATTCGAGTAGCGTAGCATCAGCACGTACGTAGACAAAGCCAAAATCTGAATTCCCCTCCCCTGAGCACATAGTATCAAAGCACAATTCCCTCCTCCAATTCACAGTCATAAATCACAGTCTCCAATTAGCTTGAAATGCAGGTTTTTCCTCCAGTTCTCGCATCCGCCATTTCTTATCATCTCTTATTTCAAAAATCAAAAAACTTTGGTTCTCACTAGACATAACAATATTATCTAATTCTCACTCTAATTCTAAGAATAAAACATAAGAAGGAAAATGGCTGCATCTCCATATGTTGTCAAAGCAAGAACATCTGATGTTAGCAGCATTGACACTTTGCCACAGATTTATTTATAAATCCAACGTATCGGTCGGCCGTCTTGTAACGTCTCTGGGGCGGGGGATTCACAAACTAAAAAGAAATCCTGTAAAATAAAAAAAGTGATAATATAGACACTAAGTCAGTGTTTCTCAACCTTGACAATTGTAAGGAATGTGGACTTCAACTCCCAGAATTCCACAGCCAGCAATGCTGGCTGTGGAATTCTGGGAGTTGAAGTCCACATGCCTTAAAATTGTCAAGGTTGAGAAACACTGCACTAAGTAGTCCTTCAATGACGACCTCAATTGAGGTCAACTTTTCCGTTGCTAAGCGAGACAGTTTTGAACGTGACGTTTGCTCCCTTTTATAACCTGTCCTGCTGCCGTTGTTCAGCAAATCGCTGCCGTTAAGTTAGGAACACTTGTTAAGTGGATCCGGCTTCTCCATTAACTTTGCTCGTCAAAAGGTCACCAAAGGGGAACGCGTGACCCCGGGGGACACTGCGACCGTGGTAAAAATACGAGTCGGTTGCCAAGCGGCTGAATTTTGATCATGTGACCACGGGGTTCCAACCATTTCAACAGTTGCAATTGTTTTAAATGGTCATAAGTCCCTTTTTTTCAAGGCTGTGGTAACTTTGAACAGTCACTAAGATCAGGGGTCTTCAAACTTGGCCCTTTGATGACTTGTGGACCAACTCCCAGAATTCGTCAGCCAGGCACGCTCCACAAGTCATCACTCTGTACGCCGCCCTGACTCCTTTGGGATTGGGCGGCATATAAATATTTGAAAATAAATAAATAAATAAATAAATCAAAGGGCCAAGTTTGAAGACCCTTGTCTTAAATCTAACGAATAAAATGGAGTCTGGCTGAGGAATTCTGGGAGTTGAAGTCCACCAGTCATAAAAGGGCCAAGTTTGAAGACCCCTGTCTTAAATCTAACGAACAAAATGGAGGCTGGCTAAGGAATTCGGGGAGTTGAAGTCCACCAGTCATCAAAGGCCCAAGTTTGAAGACCCCTGTCTTAAATCTAACAAACAAAATGGAGGCTGGCTGAGGAATTCTGGGAGTCGAAGTCCACTAGTCATAAAAGGGCCAAGTTTGAAGACCCCTGTCTTAAATCTAACAAACAAAATGGAGGCTGGCTGAGGAATTCTGGGAGTCGAAGTCCACAAGTCATAAAAGGGCCAAGTTTGAAGACCCCTGTCTTAAATCTAACAAACAAAATGGAGGCTGGCTGAGGAATTCTGGGAGTGGAAGTCCACCAGTCATCAAAGGGCCAAGTTTGAAGACCCCTGTCTTAAATCTAACGAACAAAATGGAGGCTGGCTGAGGAATTCTGGGAGTGGAAGTCCACCAGTCATCAAAGGGGCAAGTTTGAAGACCCCTGTCTTAAATCTAACAAACAAAATGGAGGCTAGCTGAGGAATTCTGGGAGTGGAAGTCCACCAGTCATCAAAGGGGCAAGTTGGAAGACCCCCTGCACTACATGAATGGTATCTCCTGTTGAGGCCTTACAGCCTTTTGCAGCCCAGAAAAATCCCTGGAAAACATTTTTGGTAACATTTTCTTTGCCAAGGGTCTGTAATGGGAAATGTGCTACAGATTCTCCTTTGCCTTCTTGCCTTTGCAGTATTTGGACTTTGCGGAGTTTGAAGATACGGTGAAAACCTTTACCAGAGAATGCAAAATCAAAGGGAAACCACTCCCCAAAACAGGAAGCAATTCTGCTAAAGACTCCAAGGCTCTAATCATTCAGGTAATGCTCCCTTTATGGGTGTGGGGATATCAGCATCAGCATCGGAGTTGGGAAGGGGCCTTGGAGGTCATCTAGTCCAACCCCTCTGCTCTAGCAGACCCAATACTAGGGGTGTCAAACTCAATTTCACTGAGGGCTGCATCAGCATTGCGGTTGCCCTCGGGGGGCCGGGTGGGTGTGGCCAGAGTAGGTGCAGCCTACTGGGTGGGCATGGATGGAGTGGGTGTGGCCTACTGGGTGGGCATGGCCAGTTCTACATCATTTCTTGTCAAGGGTGCCTATGGGGGGGCCTGGGCAGGAGTGGGACAGATCAGAGGGTCTCTGGCAGAAGGGGGTGGGACCGGGGCAAGCGCCAAGGCATGGTCCACCGGGGCAAGTGCCAAGATGGCCACCACAAAATTGTACATTGGCTCCCGGCCGGCCAGGGCCAGGGCCAAGGCAGCGGGGGCCGTTCCCTCACTGTTTCCAGGATGGCTTCGCGGGTCACATGAAACCACTTTGCGGGCCGCATCCGGCCCCTGGGCCTTGTGTTTGACATGTGTTTGATATGAGCCAGCAGTGTGCTGCAGCTGCCAAAAAGGCCAACACAGTGCTAGGCTGCATTAACAGAGGGATAGAATCAAGATCAGGTGAAGGATTAATACCACTTTATAAGGCCTTGGTAAGGCCACACTTGGAATCCTGCATCCAGTTTTGGTCACCGTGATGTAAAAAAGATGTTGAGACTCTAGAAAGAATACAGACAAGAGCAACAAAGATGATTAGGGCACTGGAGGCTAAAACATACAAGGAACGGTTGCTAGAATTGGGTATGTCTAGTTTAACGAAGAGAAGGACAAGGGGGGACATGATAGCAGCCTTCCAGTATCTCAGGGGCTGCCCCAAAGAAGAGGCAGTCAAGCTCTTCTCCAAAGTGCCTGAAGGCAGGACAAGAAGCAACGGGTGGAAACTAATCAAGGAGAGAAGCAACCTAGAACTAAGGAAAAACTTCCTGACAGTGAGGACAATTAACCAGTGGAACTCCTTGCCTCCAGAAGCGGTGAATGCTCCAACACTGGAAGTTTTTAAGAAGAGACTGGACAGCCATTGGTCCGAAATGGTGTAGGGTTTCCTGCCTGAGCAGGGGATTGGACTAGATGACCTCCAAGGTCCCTTCCAACTTTACTACTACTACTATTATTATTATTATTATTATTATTATTATTATTATTATTATTATTATTATTATTATTATGTCTGCCCTATACAGTTTGAGACAAATGGCTATCCAATATCTTCTTGAAAACCTCCAGTGTTGGAGCACCCACAATTTCTAGAGGGAAGCTATGCAGTCAGAATAGAGCTGGAAGGGACCATGGAGGTCTTCTAGTCCAGCCCCCTGCCCAAACAGGAGACCTCTACCATGCCTGTGTTGGGTTTTTATTCTTTTTAAAACAGCGGTTGGACACTCCTACAGTCTAGGCCAGCGGTTCTCAACCTGTGGGTCTCTTGAATAGAGTCTAATTCTATTGGCTTTCAAAAGCCAATAGAAGTTCTCCAGGCTGTCTCTGCCCTGCTGAGCCCGCCCAATGTCCCATTCTGCAAACAGTGCTGCACCAGTTGAGTAGTCCTCGACTTATGACCAGTTGAGTAGTCCTCGACTTACGACCGGTTGGGGGGTCGCGGCATTAAAAAGGTTGAGAACCACTGTTTTAAAATGATGCCTAGACACTGCAGCACTCAGCTTTTTTTTTTTGCTTTTTTTTTTTTTTACAAGGCATTGATATATTCCTAAGCTATTTGCTGTGGAGGAAAGAAATAATAGCCTCATCAGTTAAAGAGCAATCTTTCTTATCATTCCTGAAAAATCGCGCAAACATGTCTCTACAAATGTTATTTGATTAACAGATTAGCATCCCCAGTTAAATCTTGAGGCTACACTAATTGTCTGTAGGGTACACTGGATGTTGCCTAAAGCAGGACTAGAACTCCCAGTCACCTCGTGATTGGTCCAAACCCAGCTGGCTTTCATGGCTGAGGCAGGACTAGAACTCCCAGTCTCCTGGTGATTGGCCCACGCCCACTCAGCCGGCTTTCATTGCTGAGGCAGGACTAGAACTCCCAGTCTCCTGATGATTGGCTCACGCCTACTCAGCCAGCTTTCATGGCTGAGGCAGGACTAGAACTCCCAGTCTCCTGGTGATTGGCCCATGCCTACTCAGCCAGCTTTCATGGCTGAGGCAGGACTAGAACTCCCAGTCTCCTGGTGATTGGCCCATGCCTACTCAGCCGGCTTTCAGGGCTGAGGCAGGACTAGAATTCCCAGTCTCCTGGTGATGGGCCCAAACCCCACCCAGCTGGCTTTCCTGGCTGAAGTAGGACTAGAACTCACCGTCTCCTGGTGATTGGTCCATGCCTACTCAGCCGGCTTTCATGGCTGAGGCAGGACTAGAATTCCCAGTCTCCCTGTGATTGGTCCAAACTCACCCAGCCGGCTTTCATGGCTGAGGCAGGACTAGAATTCCCAGTCTCCTGGTGATTGGTCCAAACTCACCCAGCCGGCTTTCAGGTCTGAGGCAGGACTAGAATTCCCAGTCTCCTAGTGATGGGTCCAAACCCCACCCAGCTGGCTTTCCTGGCTGAAGCAGGACTAGAACTCACCGTCTCCTGGTGATGGGTCCAAAGTCACCCAGCCGGCTTTCACGCCTAAGGTGGAACTAGAACTCACCATCTCGTTGTTCCTAGCCAAAAACCAAGATGGGTTTTCATAAAACCGAACGTGCAAAATGAGACCCTTCCACTTATTTTTCATCGTCTTAAATAATTTCCCAAAGAACTAATCTTTTTTTTTTTTCTTCTTTTTGGCAGGATCTGCTCATGTCCTTTACTGATGGAGACCAGGACGTCTTCTTTGAACTGTGGGAAGAGCACATCCCTTCGTCGGCTCGGGAGCAGGAAGCCGTGGGTCAGAAACTGGAGTTCTACCTTCACATCCACTTTGGCATCTACCTGCTGAAGCACGCCGTGGGAAAGCCCGTAAATTCCCTTCTCTTAAATCACCTGTCCTAAATTCTTTGGAAAGGAGCCCATCAGAGCAGTGGTTCTCAACCTTTTTAATGCCGCGACCCCCCAACCGGTCGTAAGTCGAGGACTACTCAATTGGTGTAGCACCGTTTGCAGAATGGGACTTTTGGCGGCCTCAGCAGGGCCGAGACAGCCTGGAGTATTCCTATCGGCTCTTGAAAGCCAATAGAATTAGACTCTATTCAAGAGAGTCTCTTCTATTGGCTTTCAAAAGCCAACAGAATAAAAGGGAGTAGCACAGCTAAGGAAAATGGGAAAAAAATGGCGGACTGCGTTGTTTGGCGACCCCCGTGAAATGGTCGTTCGACCCCAAATGCGGTCCCGACCCACAGGTTGAGAACCACTGCATTAGAGGGATCAGTTTATCGGATGCGGCCCTTTTTCTAGTTTGTTTTTTGAGTCCTGGCGTTAATTGACTTAGTTCAGAGGGGACCAACCTTTGAAAAAAGGGGGGCGGGTTGGACTAGATTAGACATGTCAAACTTGCAATGTCACATGACGTTGCGCAACGTATCAGGACGGTTTTGCCATTGCTGGCAATGGGGTATGCGCGGCTTCTGCATGACACCCCTGCACTAGATGACCTCCAAGGTCCCTTCTAACTACTACTACTACTACTACTACTACTATTATTATTATTGTTATTATTAGTGATCCTCGCATAATCAGCCAGATGTTCAGACTGGATTTGGCATTTTTGTCTAGCTATCGAGTCCTTCCCAAAGACCTGGGATAGGCAGATGTGGATATTTGATGGTATTACAGATATCGTCGCAGGATGGAAGCAGTTCCTAGTAAGGCTGCCTTTTGCAATTGACTAATAGTGAATTTGTCAATGCCAATGGTGTTCAAGTGGTGCTCCAGTTGTTTTGGGATTGCACCTAAGGAGCCTATTACTATTGGTACTACCCTTGCTTGCTTTTGTCACAGTCTTTCTATTTCTATTTGTAGGTCTTTGTATTTTGTTATCTTCTCCAGTTCTTTCTCTTCTATTCTGCTATCTCCAGGCACTGCCATGTCCACTATCCAGACTTTTTTGTCTTTCTTATCGACAATTTTTAAGTCTGGGGTGTTATGTTGCAGGTGCTTGTCTGTTTGAATTCTGAAGTCCCAGAGCAGTTTAATTTTATCATTTTCTATGACTTTCTCTATGTTATGATGCCACCGGGTCTTGCTTACAGGCAAATGATATTTTTTGCAGATCTTCCAGTGCGCCATTGTTGCTACTTTGTCATGCCGCTGCTTGTAGTCAGTCTGTGCGATCTTCTTGCAGCAGCTTACCAGGTGGTCCACTGTTTCTTCAGCTTCTTTGCATCATCATCATCATCATCATTATCATTCTGCCTCATGCTAGGTTCCACTTGAGACAGACAGATAACTCGGTGAATAAGTCAAACAAAGATTACTTTTATTCCAGGTATCCTCAAAACATTAACTCACGGTTATTGCAGAAGTTCTTCCAGAATGTAGGTAGTAATTTGGACTCATCTCACAGGTAAAAGAACAATGGATTTCCCCCTTCTGCGTAAACCTTACATGTTGCTGGAGCTCTCAGCCCAGCCACCACATGGCTAGGACTCATGCAGGGGAGTAATAAAAATAGGATGTCTGGTCATAAACACAAGAGCCTCCCAGTGGCCAACCAGAACGCAGATATAATCATGTAATAACCAAAACTACATTTCCCAGAAGCCATCTCTTAAGGAGACAATGTTAACCCTTTAAATCAGTGGTTCTCAACCTTTTTAATGCCGTGACCCCAACCGGTCGTAAGTCAAGGACTACTCAACTGGTCGTAAGTCGAGGACTACCCAACAGTTGTAAGTCGAGGACTTTCCCTGCCCGGGAGCGCCGCGCATGCGTGGTGCCGCCCCCTGCGCCGGCCGAGGCGTAGCTGGCAAGCGGCAGAGACGGCGCACGCCGACCACCGGCTGGGCCACCAGCTGGCCCAGCCCAAGGGAGGTAAGGCACCCGCCGGCCCCACGCGCGCCAGCAACCCTCCCTGCGCCCGCCGGCCTCCCACCTCCCACCCCTGGCCCTCTTTTACTTACATTTTTAGTAGTTGCTCAGCAGGGAGGGGTGGAAACTTCCAGACAGTTCGCCTTCGCTGCAGACAACTTGCAGCATCGTTTTCAGAATGGGACTTTTGGCGGGCTCAGCAGGGCAGAGACAGCCCGGACAATTCCTATTGGCTTTTGAAAGCCAACAGAATTAGACTCTATTCAAGAGAGTCTATTCTATTGGCTTTTAAAAGCCAATAGAATAAAAGGGAGTAGCACAGCTAAGGAAAAGGGGGGGGAAATGGCGGACTGCGTTGTTTGGCGACTCCCGTGAAATGGTCGTTCGACCCCAAATTGGGTCCCGACCCATAGGTTGAGAACCGCTGCTTTAAATGCTAAATGCTCTAACACAGTTCTTAAGCTAAATATGCTCTGGCCAGAGATACACTGGTCCAGCACAATTATCATTATCCTTATCATTATTAAATCAGGAATTTGCTTCCTGGCCTTCTAGAGTAGTAATTCTCATCCTTGGCAAGTTTAAGGCGGGTGGACTTCAACTCCCAGAATCCCCCAGCCAGCTCTCTGCCAGACAGACTTCTTCTCTGTTCTCTGTGCCATGTCACTGTCCTCTCTCGTCCGGATTGGTTCTTCTGTTTTGTGTGGATTTTTTCCATGTCTTTAAGTTGTAGGGTAAAAAACTTGCTTTCCTGTCATTCTTTGCTCCTGTGCGATGCTTCGTTGTGCCTCCTTCGTAAATTGTCCTCCCAATTTTCCTCTGTTGCTGGAAACGATTTCCCCTCTTGGAGTTTTGTGTTCCGTTCTGTCTTTCACAACCTCCGTTGTAAAATTAATCCATCCTACTCTTTCATTCCTACTCTTTCATCAAAAGACGCTTGCTCCTGGGGAGGAAAGCTATGGCAAATCTAGACAGCATCCTAAAAAGCAGAGACATCACCCTGCCAACAAAAGTGCGTATAGTCCAGGCCATGGTTTTCCCAGTTGCAATGTACGGCTGTGAAAGTTGGACCATAAGAAAGGCTGAGCGCCAAAGAATGGAGGCCTTTGAACTCTGGTGCTGGAGAAGACTCCTGCGAGTCCCCTGGACTGCAAGGCGATCCAACCGGTCAGTCCTAGAGGAGATCAACCCCGACTGCTCTTTAGAAGGCCAGATCCTGAAGTTGAAACTCAAGTACTTTGGCCACCTAATGAGAAGAAAGGACTCCCTGGAGAAGAGCCTGATGCTGGGAAAGATGGAGGGCAACAGAAGAAGGGGATGACAGAGAATGAGGTGGCTGGATGGAGTCCCTGAAGCAGGAGGCGTGAGCTTCAATGGACTCCAGAAGATGGTAGAGGACAGGAAGGCCTGGAGGAACATTGTCCATGGGGTCGCGATGGGTCGGACACGACTTCGCAATTAACAGCAACAACAACACTCTTTCATTGAGAAACTAGAGCGGCACTTATATATAATAGCTCCTTCCCCGCCCCCCCCCCAAGAAATGACACACAAAACCCCTCCTGATCTAAAATTAGATGCTTGAAAAAGACCTTTATTGCCTTGTGCCTCCATTCTAGCATGTGGGTCTAGTTTTGTTTTTTTTAAAAAATGGCAAAGCTTCCTTCCACCTCTCTCGGGCCCAAAGGCCTTAATGAAAGTTTGATTGGATTTGAGGACCCCTCCATCACGGCCCAGCCCAGAAGCCGACCCGCTTCGGCTTCCTATTTACAGCCCCCTTGAGCGCACAATCCTCTGGTGTGTGTCTTTGAAAGTAGGAAATTAGAAAGGTCTGGTTTCTGTTTAGCAGCATGTTGTTTTTCACAATTAATGTCCAACCCTAATGTGTCCAAACCCAGGGCTTGCCTGCAAACTTGAGATTCCAAGCTACCGTTTTGATTTTAATGCTGCCTGCTGGTATGTGGGATGCGATATGTTTTGATCCGGCCATGGTTTGATGCATTGGGGTATTAATTAAAAAAAAAAAAACAAGGTAGTTTGCTGTCAAGAGGGGAGATATTGAAGTTTGTTTTCCTCTTGTATTGGGGTGGGGGTGGAGCGGGGGGAATGAGAAAAATCTACACTTCATGGATGCTTCTTCCTAATTCTCCAGATCAGTCTTCCAAATAGAATGGAATAGAATAGAATGGAATGGAATAGAGAATAGAGAAAAGGAATAGAATAGAATAGAATAGAATAGAATAGAATAGAATAGAATAGAATAGAATAGAATAGAATAGAATAGAACAGAACAGAATAAAGAAAAGGAATAGAATAGAATAGAATAGAATAGAATAGAATAGAATAGAATAGAATAGAATAGAATAGAGAAAAGGAACAGAATAGAATAGAGAAAAGGAATAGAATAGAATAGAATAGAATAGAATAGAATAGAATAGAATAGAATAGAATAGAATAGAATAGAATAGAATAGAATAGAATAGAGAAAAGGAACAGAATAGAATAGAGAAAAGGAACAGAATAGAATAGAAAAAGGAATAGAATAGAATAGAATAGAATAGAACAGAACAGAATAAAGAAAAGGAATAGAATAGAATAGAATAGAATAGAGAAAAGGAACAGAATAGAATAGAGAAAAGGAATAGAATAGAATAGAATAGAATAGAATAGAACAGAACAGAACAGAACAGAATAAAGAAAAGGAATAGAATAGAATAGAATAGAATAGAATAGAATAGAATAGAATAGAATAGAGAAAAGGAACAGAATAGAATAGAGAAAAGGAATAGAATAGAATAGAATAGAATAGAATAGAATAGAATAGAGAAAAGGAATAGAATAGAATAGAATAGAATAGAATAGAATAGAATAGAATAGAATAGAATAGAATAGAACGGAATAGAGAAAAGGAATAGAATACAATAGAATAGAATACAATAGAGCTGGAAGGGACCTTGGAGGTCTTCTAGTCCAGCCCCCTGCTCAAGCAGGAG